GGACAAATTACTTGCAGGTTAGAAATTAATTAGGAAATATAAAGATTTATTGTAATTAATTAATAATATTATAAAAGATGTCATATTAACATATTTTTTGCAATGATTTGAATAATTTTTTTCTTCTTGAATTAACTTTTGAGATTAAGTTAAGGAACAATTCGTTTTTAATTCTAATACAATATTTGAGTATACAAATAAAATATTCCTTATATATAGCGGAAATAATGATTTATTGTCAAAAATGGCTTTTAAAGCTGAGTTACTAACAATTAGATTTCTATTCTAATATGCAATGATCAATGTTAACACAACTTACATAGTAATCCAAGTTGACTGTTGAGATAATTATTAAGCTAAAAGGAGAGAACAATAAAAAAAAATAAAGATTTGTATATATTTAATGAACACATGAGGAATAAAAATAGTGCAGATAAGTAGGCGATGAAAGAAACGTTAGAAATAGTCAAATAGAGCAGGTACACAATACAAACTCCCAAAATTTGGATGAGTTGGCAGCACCTCAGAAAGATATTGAATCCTTGGTCAAGGTTGCAATTTCAAGAACAAGAGAAAGGGGTTACGATTTATGGCTATAATATAATATAACCCAAGTGGACGACAAGCTTCGAGGATAAGGGAAAAGGGAATATCTTTCTCTGTTTATTTTATTAATGTTATTAATAATCCAAGTACAATGCATGTTTATGGTGTGAATCCATGATTGATAATTAGAGAAGCTTTAGTCAGGGTCAAAATTAGTTTGATGGTACGGCTCGTATTAAAAAACAAAATCTTTACCTCAATCAAAGCAATGAACCTGAAAATGAAAAAGGAATGAGTGTGAATCTGAGAAAGAACAGTCAATTCTTACAGTACGTTACATCCACAGCTCATACTTTATATCAAGAAAAAAGTTATTAAGTAATTACGATGTATCATATAATTTATGGATTTCGATTTTATGATGCGATAGAAAAAAAAAATTATGTTGTAGATATATCTTATGTGAGTCTCATATCTATTAAAAAATAAAAAAATATATTGTACGAAGATCGAATGATCACTAATAAGAAAAAATAACTCTTTTATAACATGAGAAAATATTTTCCCATAATTTATATACTAAACTAACAAAGAGTATTTTCTGCTATTCGAGATTAAGATCGTGTTAATCATATTATTTTTGTCAATATTTATATCATTATTCATTTATTAATTTTACAGAAAATTAATAATATATTCTTACCTAAAGTCATTTACAATTTACTGGCTTTTGAATTGGTTATTTACAATTTACTGGCTTTTGAATTGGTTATTTACATTTATAATTTACTGACTTTTGAATTGGTTATTTTTTCTGAAAATTGTATCGATTGTATTTTTTTTAATTATATGTATAAACAACAAAAAGCAGAGCCTTATAGTATAATACATCAACTGGCTACCAATTGCAAGTGGATCCTAAAAAATTGATATACGTCCCCTTTATATGAAAATGTGTACTATATATACATATTGGTGTATTTGAAATCTGAATCTCGTATTTTTAAAAAGAAAAAAAATAATCAAAAAAGAGAGCCAAACAAAACGTGAGAAACATAAATTATAAAAGTGGTGCAAAATTTAATATCAGAAGAGTGCAAATTATTTTTATGCCCAACCGGAAAATAGTTACGGTTATTGGTGATATCCCACGGACCTAAGTTATAAGTACAATGTTGCTTTCAATTTTGAGCAAAATTATGTTAATTTCTTTTCTAAGGAGAAACATTTTGTTGAAATCTAAATCTCGTATTTTTAAAAAGAAACAAAAAATGAATCTAAAGAGAGAGCCAAAGAAATGTGAGAAACATAAATTATAAAAATTGTGCAAATTTTAATATCAGAAGAGTGCGAATTATTGGTTTACAAAAAAAAAAAAAAAGAGTGCGAATTATTTTTATGCCCAACCGGAAAATAGTGATGGTTGACATCAAAGGACCTAAATCATGAGTACAATGTTGCTTTCAATTTTGAACAAAATTATGTTAATTTCTTTTCTACTTTGATAAATTTATACCCTTTTAAAAAATAAAAAATGTTTATATAAAGTCATATAAAAGAGTTGAATATATATTGTTAGAAGAGGTTTCGGATCAAAAGCTCGGTATTGACAAGACCAGTGTTTTTTTTTTTTCAAAGAACACTCCGAATGATATCATTGAGAAGGTCGTGCAGGTTAGTGGTTTTAAACATGTAAAGAATATGAGGAGGTATCTTGGCGCCATGATGCAACATGGGAGAGTTACCAAGTCATTATATGAAGATATTGTTAGTAAAGTGAAGGACAAGTTGAGCAACTGGCAGCAGCAGTGCCTTTCTCAGGCAAGCAAAATCATGTTGGCTGAGTCAGTGTTGGCCTTGATCCCAGCGTTCCAGATGCAGAGTTGTAAGTTACCTCTGACAATTTGTAAGCAAATTGAGAAGATGCAAAGAGATTTCATTTGGGGTGATAAGTTGAATCAGCAGAAACATCATGCTATTAGTTGGGAGATTATTACCACACCTAAGATATATGGGGGTCTGGGTATGAAGAGCTTGGAGTCTATGAATGATGCCTATCTAGCAAAAAAAGCTTGGAAGATGTATTCTGAACCTAACAATCTTTGGGTTCAAGTTCTCCAGTCCAAGTATAAATCAGGAAATAGAAGCGAATCCTTGTTTGCAGTCAGAAGAGGAGATTCTATCCTTTGGAGGAATATGTGTAGGATGTGGCATAACTTGGAGGGTAAGTTGAGATGGGAACTGGGCAATGGTTTAGATATCAGGTTCTGGAAAGATAAGTGGCTTACAATGGAGAACACTTTAGAAGAATTAAACAATGATGTGGTTTCTGATAATAGGGACCAAGTTAGAGTTGTTGATGTGGTTACACCCTCGGGTGTATGGAACTATGAATTATTAAACGCTTGGTTGCCTTATCATTTAGTCAGTTGTTTTGAAGTATCCCTCATCCCAGTGTAGTTGATGGACTTGACAGAAATATTTGGTGTTTAGATGATGCAAACTCAATTTCGGTTGGTGCAATTTATAAGTGCTTAGCTGATAGACAGATTGTGGAGGAAGAAGCTACGAAATTATGGAAGCATTTATGGGATTGGAACGGACCACAAAAGGTGAAAATTTTTGGCTGGAAGTTGTTACATCAACGGTTACTAACAAAAAATAAAATTGCTGATTGGAGTAATGGTGATAACCTTTGTCCTTGTTGTAAAACTGCTCCTGAATCGATTATCCATGCTCTGAGGGATTGTACAAATGCAAAATCAATCTGGGAGATTATTATGCCAACTCGTTTTTATGATAGTTTTTTTGCTCAGGAAGTGAAACAATGGCTTAAGAGTAACGTGTGTGATACATCTATGTGGGATAATCAAGTGAGCTGGTTTACTACATTCCTAGCAAATTGTTGAAAAATTTGGTATTGGAGGAATATGGTGAATCAGGGAGAAAAGACCCCATCTTTTGAGAAGAAAGGTCAGATTATTAAAAGGTAAGTATGGGATGTTGAGGGTGCTTATCAGGAAACTCAGCAAATGCATTCTAGAAATAAGTTAAGTCACATAAATATTAATTGGCAATTTCCAGAAGAGGGTTATGTGAAGATTAATACAGATGGAGCAGCGAGAGGAAATTCTGGTCTAACTGCTTGTGGTGGTGTGTTAAGAGATTCTCAAGGTCAATGGTTAAGAGGTTATGCTATAAGGTTGGGAAAGTGCACAACCTTTAGAACTGAACTTTGGGGTATTTGGCATGGTTTGAAGGAGGCATGGAATGCAGGCTACATAAGAGTTATTGTTGAAAGTGATTCCTTAGAGGCAATCACTGGGCTCACCAAGGGAGGTGCAACAGTTCATGAGATGCGTTTGTTATCTCGTATACGAACATGGATTGACAGAGATTGGGAGGTTTCCTTCTATCATACTTACAGAGAAGGAAACACAAGTGCAGATTGGATGGCTAATTATCTACTGGATCACACAGATCAAGTGGATCGACTATTTTTTGAGGAACCGCCGGGTGGAATTCATCTTTTATACCTGGCTGATCTTGCATCAGTTGGGAGAGTTCGTCTTGTTCATAGTCCTAGTTAGTTTTCATTTGTTTTTTTGTTCTGGCTTTGAGCCTTTTGTCTACAAAAAAAAATAAAAATAAAAAATGTTTTCGGATGACATGACGGTGAAAGAAAAAGTAATTTTACTATTATAACTATATATTATCCGTAATACATAGTTATAATGGGTTTGTAGAAACAACTTTTTGCAGCAGCATAAAAAAAATGGAACCTTTGATTAATTGTCGAAAAAAGTCACAATGTTTCACAAACAACACTGTCATTCAAGCTTAAATGATATCAAATATTTTAATTTTTTGAAGAAAATTTCATAACCAAATTATCATTATTGATAATAAATATAACATTCTTTAAATTGCTGGGATTCCATACAAATAATAATTATCACAATGTTTTGAAAGTTTTTAAATTTGATAAAATAAAATTCCTATTAAAAACACCTTACCAAACAGGGCACAAACTTAATCTCTATTACATTCAAAAAGATATTAATATACTATTATTTTGCTGAAAAAAGAAGGAAATTATATATATGTTCAATTTTAGAGAAGATCTTCACACTGATTGGGTAAATTGTGATACTTTTCCAAAATAATAGCAGATTCCCTGTTTGTGAAGTTCCATTGAACCCAAATACCCTATCTCAGCTACCAAAGAAGGAATTAAAATAAAAAAAAAACAATATAAAAGGAAAAAAAAAGCAGAAAAAGGGCAAAAAATATAAAATAAAAAATAAAAAACAAATAAAAAACCAGAAACTGGTTTCTGGTATTTGATTTGGTGGGAGAATAATACAAAGAAACCCCACTTTGTATGTTCAGATACAGTGCACTTGAACCGATTCAGTGTATTGTCATGTACCCGAATATGTTTCCACTTGCAATAAAAACCTTCCCTTTTGACAAACTCAAACCTCAATTTTTTTTCTTTTCTTTTCACCACTTTCTCTGTTACCCCTTTTCTTTTTTTTGCCCTATCTCATAGGGTTTCCATCATCTTCTAGCTCTGCTATCTCTCATGCATTTTTGTTTCCAAGAGTTGTTTGTTGCCGCTATAGTCACCTTCTCCTTCTTCTTCGCTTTCTTTTTTGCTCTCTTTCGAGGGTTCTTTCGTGGAGAACAGCGCAGATTTGACCTCCCGGGGTTTTTTGAGCTGTACCCATGTCTAAAGTCTTCGGCTTTACCGGTAAGCTTTTGGTTTGATCACTTGTTTGATCCGATTCACGAAACTAGTTGTTATGTTTATGATTCTGTTAGTTTGATGAGTGATTGTTACTGTTATCTCGAGGTTGCGGTAGATGTGGAATTTAAGTCTTGATTCTCATATGCTGGTTTTCTACTGTTGTTTTTTCGTTTGGTTTGGTGAAGATTATTATTTGGGTTTTGTGTGATGAATTCCTTTTTATTTTTCTTTTTAGATCTGATGAGAAATATGAACAGGCTGAGGGTCTAATTTTCTGATGAGATAGTGAGATTTTAAGAATTTGTTTTTAGGGCCAAATTTTTTGTTTTTGGTAGTAGTAATTTATCTTTAGTGGAAATTTTGTTTTGTTTTCAGTAATTAATTTTGTACGCATGTAAGATCAGTAATTCTGTTGAGAGTTGACTTGAGTCTGCTGTTGCCTTTGGAGGATTCATCGGATTTCTTAAACATACCTGGTTTCTATTGTTTGGTCAAGTCTTTCATTCATAGAATATATAATTCCTATGGTTCTATACTTCTATTTACTGGTAGAATTTATATGTTTCTCTAAATTTTAGATGCATAATTTTTTCTTTTGTGACCTTGGATATGTTTGTTTTCTCAGGAAATGATGATTTTTGCCCTGGGGGGTCAATATACCCTAACCCCAAGGAAGCGAGTCTCTTCTTGTCTCTTGGCCATCAAGTTGATGTTTACTTTCCTCTTAGGAAGAGGTCTCGCTTCAGTCTTCCATTTGATTTCAATGGAGAATGGTTTGAGCAGAAGCAGAAGACATCTATTGAAACTTTGCCAGATGAATGCCTGTTCGAGATCCTTAGAAGGTTGCCTCCAGGCCAAGATAAGAGTGCATGTGCTTCTGTATCCAAGCGCTGGCTTATGCTCCTAAGCAATATTCGTAAGGATGAAATCTGCAGCAACGACACTACCGGAAATGAAAAGGAGGTTGATGATCAGGGATTTGGAGATGAAGGATACCTCTACCGTAGCTTGGAGGGAAAGAAGGCAACAGATGTTAGACTTGCTGCTATTGCTGTTGGGACAGCGTCTCGAGGAGGATTGGGAAAGCTTTCAATTCGTGGAAGCAATTCAGATCGTGGGGTGACTAATGTTGGTCTCAAGGCAATTGGTCGTGGATGCCCTTCTCTAAAGGCTTTCTCTGTATTTGATGTTGCTACCATTGGTGATGAAGGCCTGATTGAGATTGCTAGTGGGTGTCACCAGTTAGAGAAGCTTGACCTTTGCAATTGTCCAGCAGTTTCTGACAAGGCTTTAGTTGCAATTGCACATAACTGCCCAAATCTTACTGAGTTATCAGTAGAGTCATGCCCTAATTTGGGTAATGAAGGTCTACAAGCTATTGGGAAGTGTTGTCCCAATCTAAGGTCTATATCAATCAAGGATTGCTCTGGAGTTGGTGATCAGGGCATTGCTGGCCTGTTATCTTCAACTTCTTTTGTTATGACAAAAGTGAAGCTTGAATCGCTGATTGTTTCTGATCTCTCTCTAGCAGTTATTGGACATTATGGCTTTGCAGTTACTGATCTTGTCCTAAATTGCCTCCCAAATGTCACTGAGAAGGGATTCTGGGTTATGGGTAATGGTCGTGGACTACAGAAACTAACGTCACTTACAATTGGATCCTGCCGAGGAGTAACAGATATTGGGCTTGAAGCTATAGCCAAGGGTTGTCCGAATGTGAAAAGCTTCCACCTTCATAAGTGTGCATTTCTGTCAGATAACGGGTTGTCATCATTTACAATAGCTGCTCCATCAATTGAGAGCCTACAATTGGAAAAGTGCCACAGAATTACCCAATTTGGGTTTTTTGGTGTCCTTTTTAACTGTGGTGCTAAATTGAAGGATCTCACACTGGTAAGCTGCTATGGGATCACGGAACTGAATTTGGAATTGCCAGTAGTATCTCCTTGTGAATCGATTCGGTCATTATCAATCCGTGACTGCCCTGGATTTGGTAATGCTACCCTTGCTGTACTCGGAAAGCTGTGTCCTCGGCTTCAGCATGTTGAGTTGAGTCAGCTTGAGGGAATTACTGATGCTGGGTTCCTTGCCCTGCTTAACAGCTCTGAGGCTGGTCTGGTTAAACTTAATCTAAGTGGTTGCATAAATCTGACAGACAAAGTAGTTTTGTCCATGGCCAAGTTGCATGGGTGTACACTTGAGGTGCTAAACCTTTATGGTTGTAAAAAAATCAGCGATGCTAGCTTGATGGCAATTGCAGGCAATTTCCCATTTATCTATGATCTTGATATTTCCAAGTCTGCAATCACTGATGCTGGGATTGCAGCCCTTGCACGTGGGAAGCAGCTTAATTTGGAGATACTTGCTTTAGCAGGTTGCACATTGGTTTCAGACAAGAGCATGCCAGCTTTGAGAAAATTGGGACTGGCCCTTGTGGGATTAAATATCCTGCACTGTAATGCAATCAGCAGCAACTCAGTTGACATGCTTGAGCAACATCTCTGGATGTGTGACGTTCTCTCCTGAGCAGGAAGCCTTAACCACACTGCAAATTAGGGCACCCTCTTCTTATATAATTAGTTGTTGCGCAGTAGTGTTTTTGGGTCCATTAACTATGGGTCTTGGTCATCTAGTACTCGGTTCTCTTTTTCCAGAGCATACAGTCGTTTAATCTTTATTTTTGCAGGTTTCCTTGAATTGGAAATCTGTTGGAAGTTTTTTGGCATCCCATTGATGTGATGCCACTTTTAAAATGGCTGTTTATCTCTGAGAACATAGTTACCGGGTTCTGGAGTTAGGTATCTTTTATCTTATGTTTGGCACCTGATGTTCATAGCTCTCTGCTTTGTATCGGTTTTGCCACCATGTGGGTCCTTGTCCCCGTTTCTTTACAGCTGTCTTTCCCAATGGTTTTTACCTAATTTTCCACGTATTTTAACTCTTGTTCTATACGTGATGTTTGAGTCTCAGTTTTAGTCAAGGGGCATGTTGAAGTTCCAGTTTGCTATTCCGGGTTGCTATTGGCAGTTCAGAGTTATGAATGATGCCTTTGTCTTCAGGGGTTTTGGCCATGGCAGCAAGTTATACATGTCTGCCATGACAATCTTTTCCCTTTGGGAAGGGTTGTTTTTTTACTACCAAGCCCCTAGTTTTTCAGGCGTCATTTTTTTTTTTTCTCTTTGAACTTGTCATTGTAACTTCAATGTTATGTAATGCTACTGATATATGCCCTTTGTATTGTTATGTTATTTTATGAAAAGTAATGAATAAAAATGTGTATTCTCATTCCAAAAATTATGTATTTATTTTTCGAAATATTGATGGATGACTGCTGTACTTGATAGTGAGAACAGACAACGAAGTGAATTCTGCTGTAGCTGGACACGACTTCCTTTGTAAAATTTTGCATCAATTGCTTAGGTTCGGTACTTTGTAGACAATAGTGCTAGGGACTCTGCAATGACACATGTACTTCACATGCATAAAGCAATTATTGATGCATCATTTGTATAGTCTCCATATGATTTTTGATGAGGGGCGCGGGTTAATTGGGTTCGAATTCCGTCCATTTTGTGGCAAGACATGTGGTTACACCGTTTAAAACTTTAAATATTGACCTTGTATGCAAAGTCTCCACGTGATTAATCAAACGAAGTTTCCTTCTAATTTTGTAGCATATCTTACGGCTCTTCTGAGACAGACAGACCCACTAGGAAATTTGCGTGGAATTCGGTGGGTATGATCGTGCGTATCAGGAGCAAATAATCTATTACATTATCAATCAGCAAGCATATTCCTATTTCTAGTGTGATTATAAATTTGTTATGAAAGAAATGATAGTTGTGCAATCTTCATAAACTCATTACAGAATATACCTATATAACTTTTAATAAACTCATTACAGATTTTCGTGCAATTCGCTGCACCACAACTTATGTCTAATAATAAATTGTTTAGTGAAGTCTACGAAGAGTTTATCATGATAAAACATGTACAAGTGTTTTTGCGTGAGATAATTTTGTGATTGTCTCGTACACACAAAAGTGGATGAAACCTATTTTTTATTTTTGTTTTTCATCTCCTTAGTGGATCTCATTAACTTAATTTGCATGTTGTGTGAGACAAATGAGAAACATATTCTCCATTTTTAAATTCAGGCAAAATTAAAAGATAAATCCAAAGAAAAAATTAAGTGGAGAAAATTTAAAATCATAAAACAGATATACATAATTGATTCAAGTAGAATCTAAAAAGTATAAAAGAAAGAAAAAATTAAAATTTTAAAGAAGGATATGCATAATCAATTTTAATAAAATCAAATCTAAAAATTAAAAAGAGATGTTTAGAATGACTTGTATATTTTTTAAGAGGGAATAAACTAAAGAATTTAAATATTCTCAAGAAAATAGATTTTAATTTAATGCATAAATGATAGATTGAACAAGCAATTAGTCACTGCCGTTTGTAGCCTAATAATAAAACTACTTGTTCACTCAATCCCTCTGAACGTTGGATAATGCCACAGGGATGGACTCACCATTTGGGAAGTAGCTATGGCTCAAACCAAGTATTAGAATCATGTCCTAGAGTGGGAAGATTCTAAATGCACTATCAAAGTATCAATAATCAAAGTACTCTCAAAAATTGAAATTCGATCTAAATTTTATTTTAAATTTAAATAAAATTTAATTATATTGACTACATGTTATTTAGTAAAATGAAGATATTACTCTCAAAGCACGTAATAATTTGAGAATATGGGTTTGATATGTTAGAAATGATTTAAAATAAAGTTATTTAACACATTCACCTAATAGCTTAAACTATTCATAGAATTGGTTCACAGCATGGTAGCAAAATATATATGATGAAGTGGTTTAGAATTTCAACTTTGTACATTATTCACATTTTTTCAAGTCAGGACTCTTGTGACATAGACTGAGTGTTTCTTTTCACCTCTATTTTAGAAGGGGGAAATTTTTTTTTGCATACATCTTACCTTCAGTCAGATCCCACAATAGTGAGAGTCCCATATATACTTAGCCTGCTTTTTATTATCAAAGAGATATGAAGTAATCAATCGCATGAGTAGCTTAATTGGCTTTGATGTGCAGTTTTAACAACTTCGGGTTAGAAGGGTGCCTGTGGACCGGAATGCATATGACTGTTCAGTGTTTAAACAATGTATTTTTTGGATCTCGATCCTCTCACGTGAATATTCACCTGATCATATCATGTGAGGAATCATAACCATACAAAGGTGGATCAATGGTAATAAATGAGGAGAGAGAAAAAATGTTAAAATAGGTAGTTACAAAATCATAACCGTTGATTTACTTTTGTATGGTTGTGATCTTCCACGTGACCATATCATGTTTTTTGTTCACATGAGAGGATCCGTTCCCGTATTTTTTTAAGTTAGCTCAATCCTAATTATCTTTTTCGAGGCTAGTTGGCCTCCCTGATATTTTTACAAGTTTTGACTTTTTGAGTCGGCTATGAGACTAATCTAAAATGCAAGACGGGTTAGGGATAAAAATATTTAAATTCCTCCTAAATATAACATGTTAGGATAGAACCGAGGCTCTCTCCTTTCAACTTACTCAGTTCCCTTACCACCACATGTTTAAACAATGCTAATTCCTTGTCAGAAATGCAATGCAGGTATCTAACTCTATCTTCATTTGAGTTGATGCTGGTGCTTTTATTATTAGGGGAAATGTTTCTATTTTTGCTGAAGAAAAAATTTGTCAGTCACATTTACATAAAAGTAAGTGAATCCTACTAATTTATTTTCTCTCTTTTCTTTATAATGAGATCCAGTTACTAAACAGAAACATCAAACTCTTATCATTAAGACCAAACCCATTACACATCCATCAGAAGGTCCCATTTACACAACCATATGCAAGAATAAATAAACGAAAAAGAAGCTGTCATTCTTTTCTTTCCTCTGACATCAGAATCAATTCTGTTTATATTCCTTCAAGGCCAAAATAAAATAAAACAAAATAAAAAATCTCGTATAAATCTCTTGACAGAGAGTGCCTTGATAGCAGAAACAGCAGAAAAGCATCGACGAAAAGAGAATCTTTCGCTTCATTGGATATCCTTCATAACCACTACAGATTTCCCACTAATGTTCATCAATCGAGTTGTTGAATAAATTATTAAGTGCTTATATAATAGGTACTAGTGTTTCTTATGTTCTAAGAATTTTTTCTATCTTTTACATACATGAAAATATATGGGATCTATGTAAAAAGAAAAAAAAAAATGAACATCACACACTTTTATATACATGTAGAAGATAAAATTATCTCCTATAACATGAGAAACACTAATCCCATAAATTCATAGAGTTCTTAACTTGATAACAAGTTCTCCTTACCCATGTTGTCAACTTGCAAACAAATACATTTTTAAAGAAATTAATTTGAACAAAACCTTTAGAGGACGTTTGGTTAAAGAGAAATTTTTTTATGTCTAAGAATCACGATTACCAGGAATATGCTAAGAAAGTAAATTTTCTGGGAATGTGAATTTTTCGGTCAATATGACCAAAAAGTTTTTTGGTAGGCCAAAATATTACCGGGAATATTGGCTCAAGATTACTGATTATTGTTACTGGAAATATGAGGTGTTTTACAAAAATAACCCCACTTTTCAAACACGATTTTCTACCTAGGTTTGTCCTTTCCCATGCTAAAAAGTATGCAGAAAATTTGTCACCAAAAGAGAATAAAAATATAAATGCACGGTGCAATGTGGAACGGATGTGTGTGAAGGGAACCGGTTGTGGTGAAGGTTGGTGATGGTGGTTCGAAGGGAAATGGGTGACTATGTGGAGAAGAGGGTTTTGGGTGCGAATAGGGGAGGGTTGATTGTTGGAGGTAGTTGGACGATGGTGATGGGTTTGTGATGTTGGTGGGTATCGAAGGTGAAGGAGAGGGGTTTGGAGGCATGGTGGTGGTTACAATGAACTTGGAGGAGGAGGGTTTTTTATTGGTGGAACGAGGGGGAGAGACGATAATAACAATATGTTTTGAAGAGTTGAAGAGGACATGTCAAGAGGGTTAATTTTGTCATTTTATTCGTGTGAAATTTTTTCATGCAATGAGAATCCAACAATACCACCTCCCAGGTGGTAGGTATTCTTGGATAGCATTTTGCTTCACAATTTTTTTTTCTTGGGAATCTGATTTTCTCAGAAAAAATTTTACAATCCTTATACCAAATATAGAATTCTCAATATCAATTTACCGGGAATTTAAAAAAAAAATCCCTCTACCATTTTTGGCATAATGGTTGGTGTGTGCACCTGCTTGTCTGAAAGAAAGAGAAGCAACCTCCACATTGCAGGAGTTCAGACTGAAAGAACGAGCAATTTAGAGAATGGAGCAAATTTTAAAATAAATTCTCATTATCTTCACAAGCTGAGATAGTGACAATATAATTCGATGCATAACAAAGCAAAGCTGTAAACAAACATCTGACTCATCAGAAGGGTATCCACAACACAAACAGCTTGTTTATACCAATTGTTTAACAGAGCAATGCATGAACAAAATGTAATTGAACCACTGATGGCAAACATTCTCAAAATTTTCGCTAAAATATCAACTGAACAGACAAAAGTTGCATACTAAAAAAACATCAACTAGAATAACCTGGGAAATAGTTACATACGTTGCTGCAAGGAGGATATTGAATCATAAGGACAAAACCAGGAAGCTTTGGGAATAAACACAAAAGAAACAATGCTGCTTGGACAAAATGACATCACAAACCACAATGCAAATCTTCAAGCCTTCATTGTTAAATAATTTCAGTCAAATGCTTCTTTAATATTCACGAGATGAAACAATTGCTCTGATAGAGTTAATATTTGGTTCTGCTCCTGCTGTTTGCTTAATGCTCTGCCGCAATGGGTTCTTGTACCAAGGCGAGCTGTGGTTTCTCTTCAACGATTATATCACCATTATTCACATGAGAGTCTGCTTCACTCATCTCACTAGACAAGGCATTGTTCTCTTCACTCGCCGCAGCCATCTCAACTTTCTCTTCCCCAGTTGCATTGGACAAAGTGGTAACTTCTGTTGTTACAAAAGATAAGGAGGTTTTTTCATCATTCACTTCCTTAGATGAAGTCAGTGCAGTTGCTGAGTTGGATGCACTGATCTTTTCAGAAGCCAGTCGAGGAGGAAGGGATCTTCGTTGTGGCTTCTTTTGATGACCAGGAGTTATTCCTTTAGTGGGGTTACTCTGAGACACTTTCTCATCCAGACTTAAACGACCTTGCCGAGCACTGTTGCTAGTGTTTCCTTCTGACCCTGAATATGTTGAACTCTTCCTACGACCAAGCTTGGGAGATTTTGCTCTTGTAGTTGGTATCTACATTAGTAAGTCCAAAGGCTCAAGAATTTAAATTTCCGATGGCAAAGACCAAACTTGCTAAGTCAAAACAAGATCAAGGAAAATTATGTGCAAAAATGACAGGTTCAAATAGCAGAGCAAACAAGACTTCAATTCGCCAAAAGTAAGTGAAAAGCCATCTAGAACAACAAAACTAAGAACTATAAAATCTTTGCAATTAGATACAACCTAAAAATCTTGTAGACTGTGTTTCTAAAGTTAACTAAACCACCTAAATTTTAAAAACCACAAGATGTGTATGAGTCACCAAATTTAAAGGTTCCTCATGGATCTCAACGAAAGCAGGTAACTAATTTTGCGAAATTAACCATCCGATTCATCAATTGAAATTGAATTCATAATTAATGAACATCAATATATGTAGTATTTTGAGCTTTATAATATAATAGAATTATCTCTTATCTCACCTCCCTACTAATACAGGTCGGCTGGTCCAACAACCTCGAAAAATACAACTTTTACTACCAATGTCATAATTACATACTCAATCTCCACAATAATTTTTTTTGTCCATTCTTATATCCAGCGCTAAACTTTTTGGTCGCACAACTAAACAATTTATGCATTAGCTGGAAAGACCACACCTAGGAGATTAATTAATAGCTGTCAATGTAAGTTAATTTTTATATATTTAGTGGATACAAATCATTCTTAATCACAGGGTACTTAAGAACAAGCCAGACAATTAATTAGACAGACAATAATTGATGGAGTGATGTAGGAACAGTGAGAAGAAAGCTTCAATCAGCAGAGATTGCTCTTTCCAAATGAATTCAGAAAATCGTTGTCTGCTCTGACAATCTGAAGCCACACTAAATATGTGGGTGTGTGCACATCTATGCACTTGTGATTCACATAGCAACATAAACATACATGACATAAAAAAAATCCCAAAAATAATTAGGCAGAGAACACACACTGGGCTTGCATGCAACCAGACAGACAGGCGTGCACACACACACAAACTTACCTTCTTTAACTCCACCCTAGGAGGAGGAGGCTCCTGGTAGAAGCTTGGCATTGGAGTTGCTTTAAATGCTAGAGTCTTCCTAAGCATCTTAATCTCAGCTTCTTGCGTCTCCTATAAAAGAAGTGAAAGGTTGATGTGATTAAAAGGCGATATCTGCAAGTTACAATACACCCTAGATAACAAATATATCACCTTGGTTTTTGCTTGCAGGTTACTCTCTTCCACTTCCTTTGCATGAATCTTTTCCTCAAGCTTAGAGTAGAACTGGCCACCAAAATATCAATTTTTTTTTTTTTAAAAAAGCTTATTCAAAAGATACCTCATGGTAACACAAAAGGTGGAAGCAAGTAATAATAAGTTACCTCTCTTCTTCTGTGAGCTCGCTCACCACACTTGAAACTGAACCCATAATTTGGAAGTGTCCCCAGCCTAGGAGGTTTGGCATCTTCTGCAGTAGGACTTATATGTGGTTTAAGGATAAACCATAATCATACACTGCACCGCTCTCAATAATGAACTTACTAAATATAAAGAAATCCCCATTAATTCCCAATATCCACTCACAAGGAAGAAGAAACAACACTCAATGTCAATCAGAAAAAAAGGATACGAAGATGATTCTGCTTCTCCTTGAAGATTATGAAGGACCCCCTTCTTCAATAATTGTGGTCTAGTTTTCTCCCTATATCCAATAAATTGCAGTCCACAAGTCAAAAAAGTAAGATGATTTATTCTATATACCATATTCTTTCTTCAACTAAGATATGATGAAACATTCAGAAATAAATGCAAAGCATTACATACATTGGTGCTTCAGAAGATGCTGCATTAGACTTTCCAGGGTGCTGAGAGAAGGTATTAAAATTATCAGGAATGCCAAAACTGAATTTTTTATTACCCAAAACCAAAAAGATAAAAGAAGAAATCAAGGAGCCACAATTATCCGAATGCCTGATTACCTGTGTAAACATTTGGTAAGCAAACAAAGGTAACAACAAAGTTTACCTTGGACAATTGAGTTTGCTTGTCATTGAATGATCTGTTTTTAATAGACTGACTTGGGTGAGAGTCTAAAGCAAAAGTTCCATTTGAAACAGTAGATGAGGTCTTTTCATCTTTTCCATCTTCGCTCCTTTTTACCAAACTTGCATGAACACCTCTGGGAGTAGGGGCCTTTGCATTCTTATTCTTAATGAGACCCTTTCGTGCTCTTAACTTCCCTGTTTGATCTATGATTTTCAATTCCTCTTCCTAGAATTGGGACAATACATTAGAGATTCAAAAAATATAAATAAATTAATGGAACCAATTCAAGAAAAAAAGAAATCCTTTCACCTTAGAAATGGTTACATTGTTGTCATCTATGTTGTCATTTGATCCTTCCTTGATTTCTGCCACAGACAAGTTATCAGTTGCAGTGCTATCCGACTGGTTGAAATTTTCAAAATTTCCATTTGGAGCAGTTTCTGTAATTCCAGTAACACTGGGGTCTACATCATTTGAAACAACACCATCCTTTCCAGAATCAGATGGTTCTTCGTGAACACCATTTTGGTGGACAGCTTCGAGTCCAACAACAGGCGGAAGGTTACTTGGATCCATCATTCACGCCAAGCTACAAGTTACAAAGAAACAATGAACAGCAACTTAGAGATCATTCACGAATACAAATTATGTTGTTACAGAACAAGTTTTACCATTCATGCGGCCTTTATATGAAAAATTCATCTTTTTCCCTGTTAGCTGTGATGATTTCGAAAAGTATCTAAACAATCTTCATAATTTTTCTTTTATTATCCAAAGAACTAAAAGAGATTGATTATCATCATTCAGAAAATAAAATTCATCAGCATTAGAGTCTAATGGCAACTTACCCACTTGAAGAAAGAAATATAGGAGCGAGAAGGAAAAATAGTAGACCTGTGATGTGATGTCATGAGTTATTTACCAGTCAAAAAGTTGAAAGCAACATAACGCAATAATCATAATTCATAGGTTTCAATAAAATATGACATAAACCAATAATGTAGAGCACTCTAGTTAGATTAAAAGATGCATCTAATGAGAAATGAGCAGGGATAGGTGAGAACATGTGTTCGATCTTCCCCAATACGGTCGTTGGAAGGGGTTTAAAGCTTTAATCCTGGGACCCGTCCGAATTGGACTAGTCCCAAATCGATGAATCAATTGAAATATCTCAAAAAAAAGAAAAAAGATGATTCTGATCTCCGCTTGGTTGCCAAGTGCATGAAGACAAATTGAGAAGGAAAAAAAAAAAATTCCCTTCAATAAAAAAAAGGTAGCAAATAAGTGTAAGAGACTATTAGGCTTCAAATAATAGAGTCAAAGACCTGATTAAAAAGCTCTAAATCAACATGCATCTGCAGCATTTTCTTAGGTCTTAGCAACCAAATGAAAAAAAAAAAAAAACTCGGCTATGAACTAACATCATCAATATAGGGAAGTAAATCAAATCAGGGGATAGTGAAACAAACGAGAGTAGCATGCTCCATAGTGCTCCGATTCCCACACTCCCATTTCCAAGTACAAAACTTTCACCCACGAAATATCCCAATGAGGACAAAGCTCCATTTTGCGGCAGAATACAAATCAACAACAACACACTACACTACACTACAATCTTACTCAAATTAAAAAAAATGAAAAAGAGAAACACAAGCCATAAAAATAAAAATGAAATTTTGTTGAGTTCCCAGAAAGCCATGTGAGTGAAATTACCTGTGATATCAAAAGCTGAATAGCATTGTGAGTTGAGAGATCTGAGGGATGGAGGATCCGAGCCCGACCAACAAGATCCGAAAGATTCAAACTGTAGCAGTAGGTGCTGCTGTCGCTGATGCTTTATCTTTTTTTAAAAAAAAAATTTAATTCTTAAAAATAAATTTTTAGAAAAACAAAAGAAAAAGAGAGAAACAAATCGAGGAATATAAGGTTGAGAGAGTGAGAAGTGTAGCTTAGGAGACAGCGGTTTTTTTCTTTGAACTCCGAAATCCAAATGCTGAATTACAATTTCAATTTAATTTCAATTTCATTTTCCAGGTCAGGCCATGTCGCTTTCTCTGCTGTAGTCACACTATGTCAAAATCTACGGTTACATCAAGTTATACGGTTCTCACCAAATATTAATTATGTAACCATTGCGAAGTAGAAATTACGAAGTTTACGAGAGATGCCTCTAACCTTATTCGAGTTTGATTTTATTTAACTTTAATCATGACTTAACTCATTATTGAATTAGAACAGCTCTACTCAATATTTAAGCTAATCTAAATTTAACTGTTATGTATAAGTAAGTAATCAATTTTAATATAAGAAATATAAATTAAATAATTTCTTTAATATGCATTTTGAAACAAAATATTATGTTATTCAAAATTTATTCATTCAAAATTTTATTATGTTATTCAAAATGTATTCATTCAAGGGTATAACTCTTATAATTTATTATTAATTTTCAATTTTTTTTTGAAAAAATTGTCATTAAGCTTAGCCAATTCGAGTGTAACTCTAAATTTGACCTTAATCCTAGCTTAAAGGACTAGTCTTAAGCACCTTTAATACTAACTAATTATTTTCCTATAATTTTTGTTTTTCAGTGGAGAAGTTGAAGTAGATAATACATAAACTTCTACCAAAGGAGAAAATTACATGCACTTCTACTTTTTGTACATTATTTTCATCTGATTAAAATTACATGCACTTCTACTTTTTGTACATTATTTTCATCTGATTCATTGTTTTAAACAAAAAATTAATTTAAAAGAGTTTTAAAATAATTAATAAAAAATGTAAATAAACATTTTCAAATATCAATATCCTCGCCTTACTTTTTGGTGTGATGCAATTTATTATTTGCTTACATTGTTGCAATGTTTTTATAAAATATATACAATGCAATACTAGAAAGAGTGGTTATTTTATTGAAAAATATATTCTGTTGGTAATTTAACTACATGAGGTTTCTTAGTAAAATATTTTTACATTAGAATAAAAATAATGATATTTTAGTTATTCATTCAATGTTTGAAAAAAAAGGGGATTTATTATTTTTCATATTCTCCTACACACACATAAAAGTGTGTGATATTCAGATTTTTTTTTCTCTCTTCTCCTCAAACTCACATGGATTTCATACATTTTTATGTGTGTTTAGGAGATAAATTTATCTTATACAACATGAGAAATATTAAACCAAAATAAATAAATAAATAATATATTCATTTTTTCATAGTTTTTCATAGTTTTTTTTCATAGTTAATTACCAAATAATATATTTTAGAAAATAACCCCGCTTTTCAGTTTATTTGTTTGAGAATTTAATTAATTTGTACCGTTAATGCAAACAAATTTTACACTACACATTACTATTTACTACCTTCATTTTAATAAATTCTGATACCATATGAATTATTAATATTGAATAAAAATCCCCCCTAACACCTAAGTTTAGAAAAAAAAATTGTTTATTTATCGGAAATTTAATTGGTATGCATTGTTAATGTAAAATAAATTAAACTACAAATAATTATTTATTATCTTTTTTTAATTAATAAGAGAACGAAATAAAATTAATAATGATATATTGAAATATTAACAAATGTCAATATAAAGTTTTCTATATTGACAGTATATATCAATTAAACTTATTTGTTAAAGGCCGTCGTATCCTTTTTTTTCTCAAATGCTTTTTCCTTTTAACAAATTTGTATAGAAAAGGACATGTTATATTCAAATCAATCAAAAATAATGTTTATATTTATAAATCAATGATTAAAATCTCTCTCTCTCTCTCTCTCTCTATATATATATATATGTATTATATAATTTTTAAAATATATTATTTAATACTTTTCGAATAAATAACATAAGTCTATTTTAAAATAAAGGTTTATCAACAAGTACTCTTATAATAGTAATTAATGAACATTTAAGATTTCTTATTAAATATGTGTAATTAATTTAAAAAAGAAAATAATAATAGGCTTTTAAACACGAGTCTACTTTAGTATTTCTTTTAAAAAATTATAGATTTTATATAAATATTACAATTTGAGTGTTCATATTATATTTTGCGTTAAGAAGAATAATAAAAATATATAAATACTATATTTTGTGTTTGTGTAGCCACGGTGTGTATATTGAGTGTGAGTAGATGGAAAACCGACCAATTAGCGTACGCTGTCGGGGGCCCGAGGTCTTGTCTAAGAGTCAATAAATTTCTTCCTCTTTTTTTGGCATTCAAAAAAAGATTTCAAAGCACCATCCATTCTGTAGTACATAGTTCTTAATGCACAAAATGTTTTAAGGGTTTGTGTTTCTTTTTTTTCGCCCCATAAGAAAAGTTGCAGCAAATTATTAATATTAAAATATGGGATAGTATCATGGCTTAAAAAACAAAAAAAATCATGATTCGAACGTGTATCCTGATAAAAATAAGTATTGCTATATTTTTTCCCATCTACAGTGACAAAAGAAGTATATAACCCATGTTTTAATACAAAAGTTTCAAATTAAATTATTGATTTATTTATTTATTTAATAAAAAAATAATGATTTGATGTGACAAATCAGCCATGTTTGAATTTGCTAGATGTTTAGTTAAAGAGAAAATCATTTTTGCATCTGCAAAGAGTTAGTGAATTTTGTTTTTTTATCTCAGTGGCAAATATTTGCTCTCAGCCACTGCTGCTGAAAAATAAAGTCTTTAGTTAAAACACTTATATCAGGGTAGATGGGGACAAAATAACAATTTTTTTTTTTCTGAAATTAAACTAAATGGCATGTGTCATGAATTGGATCACCTCCAACTTTTATTTTCAAAATCAACCTGATCATTAAACCTGTTAAAGCGCTAATTTATTATTTATCAGTTTGATTATTTATGGTTGAATTATAATTAAATTAGTGATAGTTATGTATATATATTTTAATATTATATAACATTAAATAAAAAATTAGATAATATTATATGTTCTGTGAGATAAAAAAACAAATAATAAGAGGTTAAATAATAAATATATATTAAATATCACGTGTAATAAAAAAAACACATTATATTGCTTAGTACTTCAAAATTTTATATTGAACAGTGTGTGAAGCATTCAAATATACAAATAGTACAACAGTTAAGAGAATAGTATAATTGCAAGTCTTACATAACAAGTGAAACATCTAATCTTCTTATATACATAAACAATACATAAAATATTTCTTAAAAAAAACCTAAAGGTAATAAGCTAGGATGGGGGACTCTAGAAACTAAAAGTATAAAACAAAACAAAGGGGTCAGGCAAATAAAGTTGTTATGTTGAATATGTATATATAAAAAAAAGTTGTTATGTTGAACCAAAAAAAATCAGTGGAGATAAAATCCATAATCAATGCAGTTCTACCAGTCCTCAATAGATGTGATTTTTTATTTTTTTTATTTTAAATCAACATCATAAATTGAGTAAAAAGAAACGATAATTCAAACACCAAGACGATAAGTGGGTTCTGTCTAGGGTCCCAGAAGTAAACATCTACATTCATGAGCCATACATAGAACAGGGGAGAGTTAGGTCAGAGAAGCCTTAGTTTAACCAAAATTATTTGTTTTGCTTAATGGACTGGACGGTAATACCAGCATGATAAGACAGATATACTTTAAAGCCATGTTGGATAACACAAAGATAAGATTTGTGATTGTGTTGTGTCAAACAAGGTTTCTGTTTGTCTTGTGGTTCAGAGGTACTATCACCACCTGTGATCATGGATTGATTATTGCAGTTTTTTTTTCTTTAAAAAAATTACTTTTGCTTCAGTGATTTTTCATTGTTAGATATTTAATTTAGAAGTGAGCGCATACACTCAAACATGATAATTCAAATTAACACACACACACTAATATAGTTTGTAATTCAATTCAAACCAATCCTAGATTAGGTTGTGATGATAATTGTAAAGAACAGTAAGGATCAAACTCGTGATATTGAGACTATGATATTATGTAAAGAACCAATTTAATTCAAAAACTTAAATTATTAAATAATTCTATATTAATGATTTTATATTTCTATAATAATAATAATAATAGAAATTAACTATTACTATTAATTCCCCGTAGGGAAGGTTTTTTTGGGCACATATTAAAGCACCCATGGACCTCCCCACCCACCTATTTTAGATTCTTTGGTTTTCATTTTGTGCAAGAAAGCTAGCGTTCAACAAATAGAACCGCCAACAACAGTACTTACGCAAGGCATTTAAACTCTTCTCTTTAATTTTTTGTTCTTTTTTCTCAGTTCTATTTCTTCCTTAAAAAATACGTAAGATTCCAAGACAAGAGTTGAGCTTTTGAAGATTTTGGGGACCAGCATGTATGACAAAGAAAACTTGCTTGAGATGGGCTAAAATCCTATTTCACCTAAAAAAGGCATCATTTTTTTATGCTAAATTGTGTTCATTATATAACATGAAAATCTTAAAATTAAATATGATATGATCACGTTAAAACTAGATATGAGTTTACACCCAAATAAAAATAAAAATAAAAATATGAGAGGATAATTATTCTCTGATAATTAATATGTGATTTACTTGTGTGTCAATCCTAATCAAGATCTTCAAGTCAACGGTCTATATCCAATAATAGTTAGTTTGCCATTTACTACGTGTTATTAGTTCAGTTAATTACACAAAATAATTTCCTTGGAGATTTCACAAATTTTCGATATCGCCGCTCATTTTTCTTTTTCTTTCTCCCCCTCCCTTTTTAACACCACCAAGGCAAGGATCCAACTTTTCCCCCCTAATATTCTTTGAGATTTCCTATCTGTGGGACAATCACTTCCTATCTATCTTAATAGAGTATTCATATTTGGGAGCAAATAGTCGATTCCCATAATCAAACTATGGTACTTCAGTTTATAGCAAGAGTTGAATAAATGAAAAGAAAAGAACCTCGATTCGATTTTCAAATACTATATTTGGAAAGAGTTTAAACTTTAAATATCTTCTCCCCGACCCGCTCCGCATTCTAGATTAGTCTCATAATTGGTTCAAAGAATCAAAGTTTATAAAAATACCGGGAGAGTCAACTCGCCTCACAGAAGTATTTAGAGTTGGATTAATACAAAAAAAATAAAATAAATAGAATATTCATATTGAATTTTTCTAAGATACCCAATTTTTTCTTTTGAATATTAATATATGAATACTTATCATGATGACAAATTACACTTTATGAACTTCAAATATATTTATTGAAAAAAGAAAACTAATAAATGTTCAATAAATCATGCAGAATACTGGTACCTTAAAAAAATAAAATCAAAGTACCATGAAATTCTAACTTTTCAAGCCCTTAGTTGTTCAATCCTCTAATAATTAACCCAACAAACTGTATGATTGTTATGCTTGACTTTCTGTTTGTAAAATGTTAGGTTATCTTATAGTTAGCTCCTTAAAATATGACACAATGTGGCTTATTGGTAGAAAAAGTGGAATTTTTTTTACCAGTAGGGCTAAAGAATAACTATATTTAGAGTTGATCAAAATTTCAATATAATTGTTGAATTAAATAATATGGTAAAAATCATTTATTCATCTAAGAGTTAATAAATATACTAACTCATTCCGTAAAAAATTATGGCAACGCATTATTTTGCATTTTTCACTCCTGAAAAGGCTTCCAAAATAAGTATTAAAGAGCAACCAAAATTATTGAGAATCATGCTGTACTGAGGAGCTGTCGAGTTAAGGTGTATTAAGTAGATAGTGGCCCCTTGCCTCCCTAAAAAATTATCTTCTGCGTACAAGAAATCATTGGCCCCTCCTCTCCTTAAGCACTTAATAACCTAAACATTTTATTGATTTAACTTTTGAAATACTATTAGTGCTTCAATAATCAACCAAAGAAAGACCAATCAATATTTGTTATCCTCATATTTTATTACATATGTTAAGCCTTCACACATCAAGTTTTTTTTAGTTTTTCAATCGGTTTATCTTTCGGACTACATTCGGTTTGAGCATTTGTCAAACCCTATTAAAAGGGACAGCTCTCCCAAATCATTTTTTTCATTCTCAAAACTCGAACTCGAGATATCTAGTTAAGGGACCAGACTTCTCACTTCTTACCATCTGTGCCAAGGGTGTTTGGTTCATACATCAAGTTTAAATGACATGAAAAGTTAATGACTTGCATGCATGTACACAATGCATAGGTTAATTTTTTAGGGGTAGTAGATTTTGATGTTCAAAATATAATGCAGCTCCCAAAACTTCATGGCAACTTTACATAAACACTAGAACAAATCAATAAAAAGCAAGTTGCTCCTTGAGTGGAAGTTGGAACAGTCAACTCCTGAATTTATACGCTATTCCACCTCACACCAGAATTCACCAGCTTGACATACGCATTTTTGAAATCTTCAAAGAACATATTCTCATTGTCTGCGTATTTTTTAATCCATCTGTTCAACAAATAAAGTTCTCTTTAGTTATGCACATTAAGTTACACGGATAATTAGAAGAATCATATGCATGCCGTGCATCAGGACATTCTTTTCACGTGCAAGTGAATTTTTAGTCATTTATTAGAAAGACAAGAATCTTTTCAGCACCTCGTTTTTTTCTTAAATGGATAAAAGGAATCAGAAGTGAAACCTAAGCTTAACAAACTAATATAAGCACTTGAATAGACTTATGCGTTTGGCTCAGGATCAGGACCTTACTGATCAGATTTCAACTAGAACAGGAGAATTTAATGTTAACTATGTGCAAACTGATACCCCAGAGGCAAGGAACTTGTTTACAAGGGCAAGAAGCAATGAATCACGAATTATTCAGACAAATCTAACCAACTGAACTTAGGCTTTTTCACCCTTTTGTCCCTTATTAATTAATTAATAACTATTTTGCCCCTGATTCGAAACTATCTACCAATCTGCCCCTCTTTAATCGACTACCTTGCATTTTTAATCGACTAAATGGTCAAAACAGGCAAAAATGACTGTTGGGAGATTTAGTCGACTAAATCTCCCTATTTAGTCGACTAAATCTCCCAACAGACAACAAAGGAAAACAAGTCAGTATGATTTTTTAATCGATTAAGTAGGGAGATTTAGTCGATTAAATCTCCCAACAACCATTTAGTCGATTAAAAATGCAAAGTAGTCGATTAAAGAAGGACAGATTGGTAGATAGTTTCGAATTAGAGGCAAAATAATTATTAATTAATTAATGAGGGATAAAATGGTCAAATAGCCACTGAACTTACCCAATTACCAATTGACGAACAGTTTTTATCCTAAGTGTTAATTTAATTGATGGACTATTTGCATTAACTGTTATATTCTAGAGTCCTTCAAAAAAAAATAAAAAAGAAATGCTTCTCATTTTTAATTATTCTATCTGTTCATATAATTTAATCTTAAAAATATTAAAGGATTTATCACCTTTTTGTACTGAAATCTTAGTGCTTAGCAAAAAAGTGCAGTGGGGTCGATTTCATGTTAACAGTAGCACAAGAGGTTCGCAAAAGATAAAGAACCTTAAGCATTCATCATCCTCAACAAGTGCGTGATCTGAAGGAAGGCCAATCATACTCGACATACCACCTGTATAAAAGTAAACCAGCAGATGAAAATGATATTAAAAATTAATTAAAAATGAAAAGAACAAGCTAATAAATATTTTAGTCCTATCCCAAAATTGATCATGCAATCACAGAGATTTTATGTCATTCATAACAGTTTATTGGAAGGCAACTGACGTCAAAGAAACTGAAAAACTTGATTCGAACAATAAGATTCAGCGTAGACTGGACACAAATTATGTAATAATCAGTTGCTAAGCCCCAAGGCCTAACGTGCATTCAGCTCCTTCATTTCCTTATTGTTTTCATTAAAGAAGAATTGATTCAGAAAACAATTACTAGTAGCAGTTTTACTTAAAATACGAAAGCAATCATTTTAATGAGGTAAGCTGTTAATTTACCAGAAGACATCCATGGCTTCTCCAAAAGAATCTTATAATATGAATTGTCAAATGAAGTTGGGCTTCCAAAACCTTTACTTCCAAGAGTGTGGGCTCCAGACAAAGCTACAAGTTCTTGCGTTCTGTGAAAGAAAAGCTCAAAATGGATAACAATGAATAAGCAAAAGTAATTCTAGTAAACTATGCTGAAAAATTTATACCAATAACAAGTAGATTAGCATATGATCAATAATTTTTTGGCCAGTAAATCACTAAATTACTTGCCTTGTTACTCTGGTTTAGAAATAGGACTATGATAACATATCAGATTCAGTATGTGTGTGTAATGTTAAGATTCTCATGGTAAGTTACGGACAATCGGACAGCTTTTAGAGAATGGATAGCTGTAAAAGTATGACATAAATACCAAATAAATAATATTTTCTACCGCTGAAAATGGAAATTGCAGGCAATCACTCACCCTTACAAAACAAAATGCAAAGTAAAAGGGAGTTTCCTCATACTCACGAAAAACTTTTTCTCTGGAAGCATTTCTTCAAGTCAGAAGCACTGAGAGATTCCTCAGGAAGTCTTCCTTCAGGATCAGGCCTCCTATCATTAAAATGAATGGAAATATCGTTGGTAGAAGAAAAACCAGGTTTTCGTTGTTGTGTGAGAATCAATTAGTTAAATCCCCATGTAGCGGTTTTTTTTTTGTTTTTTTTCCCCTGTAAAATGATTGATCATTCTTTAAACAATAGCCTAAACATAATTCATAATTTGGTTAAATAATATTTTCAGAGAACCTAACACCCACTGATTGTTTGTCATCCTTAGGAGAAAAGACAAGTTGCTTGTCACGTCATATATACTAATTAGAGTACCAGATAATTAGCATCTTACTGCGAATCTAGTCTACCCAGTGAAACTTGGATAGGTGGACCTCCACATACTTCAACTGCTTCAGCTCCAGCCACAGCAATCACATCCGCCCAGGATACTATCAAAGGAACACTAAAATTTATTGGTCTCGATGGAATCAGCACTTACTATTAGCAGGAGTTGCTAGATAAAACAAGGACCTGGTTGGATAGCATCTATCTGAGTCTTTGCTTTCTGCAGAACCTAAACAATATGTGATAAGCCCACTGAGACACTATCTGGCAGTTAACATATAAGATATCTGTATTCATGACAAAGAAATTTAGAGTATAGAACATACAGTCATATGGAATTCTTCAAATAATAAAAGAAAGAAGGAGAGGAGGAAGATGATTGAGAAAATAGTGAGACGGAGCATGCCTTTACTGATTTTATCAGGCCAGCATTTTCAGGTCTTTCAAGTTCATAGACTATAGAACCATTCATACCACCTGCAACAACATGAACAGTGGGAAAAATACACACATTTTGCATTTGAGAAGAATAAGAAAATAATAGTCATTTATCTGAATTCTGAAAAGAATTAAGGACATACACTTGTTACTGTTGATGGCACTATGACCAAGAAAACATAATAAAAGACCACCCTGTTTCCTTTTTTAATTTCTTGGAATATGCCTTGTGAGAATTTAACCATACAAATCCAATTGATATTCAAAGGCTTGAACCACTACTGAAACGGAGTCGGAAAAGAAAATAGAAAATGGAAGACAAAGCGAAGAGACATAACTTTTCCACATTGATACTTAATACATAATGTAGGGAAAAGGTCACACGATGATTTTGTTCGAAAGGAATCAGCCATGAGACTTACTTTATATCTGAAAAACCCATCACCGCTTCACTAGAATGGCTTTGTCTCCGTGATAGCGATGATTAGTATTTTTCCTACACTACTCAAAATGCTACTACTGATATAGAAAACTTACAAGTTAGCAACATAAAATCAGATTTTAGTGCCAAATTGGGTGATCAAGAAAAGAAAGCATGTGGACTAGAATATGCAAGCTTAATTATTTCAGCCATTGCCATCCCTTTCCACGCAAGTATTTTACATCCATTATACAAGAGAGTCAAATTTCATGGGCTTTTGGTAGAAAACTTAAAAGGACAGTGCAAAAAATAACAGCATTTTGGAGAGATGATGTCCCTAAGATGAGATGTATACCTGTATTGTCATCGATTTCAAAGGTTCCAGCATCGTGGAAAACCAAACGAAGCACGCCTGCAGCCTTTCCCTTTGACAATACCTTCCTCACCTCATCTTTAATGAGAAGATATATTTTCTTTGTACCTGGCCTTCAGGGAGGGGTAAAAGCAGCACAGAAATTACAATACATCAAGCAAGCATGGTAACTAATGCAATATACAAAACTAACTAGATAGTACAGTACATATGATGAATCAATTTTAGACTGTCCAATGTATCCAATACATGAATGAAAATGTGCTTTTGCATTGTAATAGGTGAATAATTTTATTTTTATTTTTTTAACTTTTGCGTGTGTGTGTGTGTGTGTGTGTGTGTGCAGAATATGATAATAATGACACTTACTGCATCGCGTTGGCTCGGAGACAACCTATGATCTGACTTAGGGGAAGAAGACATGGTAACGTGGCTATGCATATTAGCCCTCTCCTCCTGCTAAATGAAACCGCTACATCTACCATTTACCAATTACCATCATTCAAGTAAATTACAAGCACAACAACAACAACAACAACAACAACCCTATCGCTATCCGACAGAGTCTGAGGTTCAAGGTTGCCTCACTCACCTGAAGAAGCATGGTCGTTGGGCTTGTCGGCGCGAAACTTGACCGTTGAGAAAGATGACCGTTGGAATTTGGCGGGAAAATTGATTTCGGGGTTGGCCTCCTCGCCTGAATTGGTGACGATTGAGCACTGCAGAGGATGGTTTGTGAGAGTCGAACTCATTATCTCTAATGGACTCCACACAATCAAACACCACTGTTCCCTCGGCTCCTTATCCTTCTATTTTCGTTTTAAAAATCATATCATTTTTAATGAAATTATCTCTCCTTTATTTTTTGTTTTATTTTTAATTTTATAAATTAGAGAAAATAACAAAACACATGAAAACATCGTAGTTTCGTTAAAAATAACACAAAATTAAAATGACAAACACTAAATTCTTTATTTTAAGGAAAAAAGTTTTATGCTTTTTAAAGTACAACCTTTTTATCTTTTAGTATTTAATATTATATCTTATCAATAGTACATAATTATAATTAATTTTTTTCTTTCCTCAATCATTTTAGCTAACATAAAGAAAAAAAATAACTTTTTCTATTATAATTATGTCTTACTGTTAAGACATAATATTAAAAATTAAAAATATACAACTTATATACTTTAAAGTATACAATTTGTGTTCTTTAAAAATAAAGATACTTGACCATTATTTTAAGAGGAAAATACTATTTTTTTTCGGCTGAGTGAAAAAATGGTGGAGCCGACCTAAATTTAAAAACAAAAAAAAAATCAAAAAAGGAATGCACAGCTTTTTATGGTGAGAGCAAAAAAAAGATTAATTTTACTGCAGCAGGATATTGCATATATTAAAATATATATATATACACACACAACGCAATAAATCTGCACAATCGTTGAAATCTGTATTTTAAATATTTTCCTGATTTTTTTTAAAAAAAAAAAATAGAATAGAATAGCAGATAGGAAATATGCAAATTTTTTTAAAAGAGAACAAATATACTTATTTTCGTGAAAGGTTATAGTTCATCCACATTATTCACGTATTTTTTTTTTAATTTCTAAATTGAAAGAAAAAAAGTATTCCATTTTGCGCTTATCACTCTTGGCCTTGACAGCTTCCTTTGATTAATCAAAATTCGGAATTCCCCCCCTATACTACTAGTAAAACTGCAAAAAGAGAGAGAGAGATAGATCAAGTGCAGATTGATTATGGATGGCGATTTATATTACAAAATTTGAGGAACTTGAACAAGATTCACAAGAGTGGGATACATGAAAGCCCAATACATGAGTAGCTAAACCTGAATAACTATACCAATTTTCTCAATATTACACCACCCCCTCAAAATAAAGAAAAGAAAAGAAAAAGCTAGTGTTATCTTGGTCCTGAAAGACGAACCGCAGAGAGATTAGCATCACTATTACAGTCTGATGGGCCTGAAGAAGTGGCCCCTTCACTGGAGGTTCTGAATACAGTGGAGTAAAGGCGAGAATTCAAGGGGTAACTTGTTGGTGGCTTAGGAACAGTGCAAAGACCCTCCAGCATTTGTGCAACTTTGGTCATTGAAGGCCTCAAAGACATGTCTTCTTGTATGCACCACAATGCAACTTTGATAGCACAATGAACCCTATCATCACGATCATTTATTTTCAACTCTGAATCAAGAATATCTTTCAGCTTCCCTTCTTCCATCATCTTAAAAGCATAATTTGGGAAATGGGACTTCTCTGTAGTTTCACTCGGATCATAATTTTTCCTTCCCCCAATGATCTCTAGCAACACCATCCCATAGCTATAAACATCACTTTTCTCTGATATAGCATAGTTTGTTATCCACTCCGGTGCAAGATACCCCCTTGTGCCCCTCAGTGTTGTAAAAACATGACTTTGTTCTCTATTCATTAGCTTAGCCAGACCAAAATCTGAAACTTTTGCCATGAAATGATCATCCAGAAGCACATTTTCTGGCTTGATGTCACAATGAACAATTTTTGAGTCACAATCTTCATGCAGATAAGCGAGTCCTTTTGCTGTTCCAAGAGCTATATTAAACCTAGTATCCCAATCCAACAGAAATTCTCCTTTGTTTTTCTTGAATATCCATTTATCCAAAGAGCCATTGGCCATATAATCATAAGCAAGAAGCCTATGAGTTCCATCAGAACAGAATCCTCTGAGCCTAACCAAATGGAGGTGATGAATGCTGCCAATGATGCTGACTTCAGCTCTGAACTCTTTCTTCCCTTGACCAATACCTTCAAGCTTCTTCACTGCTAGTTGAGTCCCATCTGGTAGAACTCCTTTATAAACTGACCCGAAACCCCCTTGTCCTAGCTTCACTGAGAAGTTATTAGTTGCTGTTTCAAGATCTTTGTAGCTGTAACGGATTGGCATACCAGTTAAGTTCTCTAAGAAATTGTCCTCTTCTGAATTCTCTCGAGGAGACTCAGGCAACTTTGGTTTTTTTCTGCAGTACCTAAGTCCTGCATAGAGCAGAAAAGAGATGACAAAGAATGTTACTAGCACAATGACCACAACAACTGTGGTGTGCTTACTGCCACTTCCACTACCCCCACTGCCAGCACTTCTATCACTCGAGACCTTAATGTAAGAAACATAAACTGAATCCGTATCAGATTTCTCAAAGCTTCCTACACTGTCCAACAAGAAACAGCTCCCTGAACTTGTCTGGAAGAACATAGCAAGGCATGAACAGTTTCCACGGCAAGAAGTTTGGCAACCAGCCAAATCGGTTTTCGAAAAGGGTTGAAGGAATTCAAGCGCAAAGTAATTGAGTCCATCATCAGCTTTAATGAACTCTATAGAGTTTTCTGAGTTATTATCACAAATAGAGACAAAACCCGGATTGCAACTGGGAAGAACAGAAGGGCAGCTACACTTCTGATTGCCAGTGCATACGTTATATGGATCACAAGGTTCTGGTGTGCTGCAAGCATCTTGTGGTATTCTCGTTGGAGAAGCCACATTTGAACCTCCATTGTCGAGATTAGAGAAAGTGATGAAGCCATCACTTCCCAAAACAGCAACCCAAGTGGCATTTGTACCTGCATCGTCAGAGAAAATGAATTGCCATAACAACGATTTGTTTTTATTATCATAGAACCTCCAGGAATTTGCACTAAGGGTTGCTGAAGCGACCGCATCACCATCTTTATTAATGGTTTTGCGGTTATCCTTCTGCATAGTCCAATAAGGTTGTGGAGTTGGGAAACCAGCGGAGAGAATGACATTGCCAGATTTGACCTCAAGAACATAGGTCAAGTTGTTTTGGCTAGGTTCACTTGTGAGTTTCATTCCCTCCGTGAAGTCCTGTGTTGGCAACAAGGTATCTGTTGGATGGCTGAAACTCTGCCAAATCACTGTACTATTATCATTCCCAAGCAAAACCAAATTTCCAGTGTCCTGCAATTCCATTGAAGAAACTCCCTTGCCACTTGTATTTGTAGACCACACCACAGTTCCATCTTTCTGTAAGAAAGCATTACCCTTATCATCAAACACAAATTTATCAGAATTGGAAACAGGAAATGCTCTATTTGCAGTCCAAACCACCGTGGAACTAGCCACGTGGAACACCCCTAATAGAAACTTGGTGGTGTTATTTGCGGTGGTGATAAAGCCAAAGGCAAATTCTCCCTTGTTTGACACGAGGAACTGGCCATTTCTGTCAATCCAATTCATTTGAGAACCTTCAAAACCGGGTGAGACCTTGCCAATATACAAAACACCACCCAAACAGACTTTAGACAAAAGGATTATACACAACCCCAGTGTAACCATAATATGGAAGATAAACCAATGTTTTCCCATGTTTACACAACAACCAATTGCTATTTGGGGATATCAGAATACTAGAAAGAAAACTCTAGAAGTTGTATAATAGAATTCATCAAGAAGAAAAAAAAACAAGACCCAGAGGCTGAATTGGCAAATAAACTTCCTCCAACTCACACCCACGCAAGTTCAAATCAAACCACTTAGAAATCTTAACTACATACCTCAATAAGACCAACAAAAAAATAAGAAAAAGAAAGAAACTCGTGGAGCAGAAGTCAGGACAGGACAACTTGAGGAAAAGGCCCAACAAGGACTACTCGGCAAGGCACTCTTCATTTGACCATGACACGTGAAATGATAGCAAGTTGCAATAGGGATTAAAACAGAAACAATGAATGAAGCATAACAATAGGAAGGATTTGAACTGTGAAGACAAACAGTACCCTGGTTTCTATGTGTTTCTGCCCCACCGTCATAAATGATGGTTTTAAACTTTAGATCTGACTTTGGTTGCTTCTGTCCTTTAAGGAGCTGTGAAACACATGAACGAGGTGTTTTTCTTCTTCTCCCTCTTCCTTTTTGTTACTATTTTTTTGTTGACGGATCCAAGAACAACTCTTCTAATGTTTCGTATAGGAAAGAACTGGGTACAATATTTTAATCAGTTTTTATGTTAAATGTCAATAGGAAATTGCCTTTATGATTTATCCCAGGAACACAACACCGCTAAAATAATGTAGGAAGTCTTCATTAAAAAAAATATAGGAAGCCTCCAATTGTATAAGAAATGTTATAATAAACAGCAAAAACGGGGGGGGGGGGGGGGGGGAGAAAAGAAAGAAAACTTATATCATAGATGCATTTTCATAATAACAAGTGGGAAATCATTATCTCCTTCTACATGAGATAAGAACTTTTTTCTACACAAATTTCGTTTTCCGTGCCAATTAATTTTTCTTTTCTTTTTTAATTTAAAATGTGGGACCCACATTTAACTTATCTCTACTTTTTTTCTCTCCTACTATCCTACAACATAAGAAAATATGCACCCATAATCAGTGCTTGTATTTTACTACTATTTCGAATGCAGCTAGGAAACATGCAGTGCTTAGAGTGGTAGTATAATTAATTAAAAGGATGATTTTGATTGTGCAAGTTGGCTCGTTAATGTATTGTTGTTTATTTTCCTATGATTTAATAACAATTGATAGCTGATAGCTGGAGGCTGGTGAGGAAGGAAGGTGAGATTGGGAAGGCTGTATTATTTGTTATATTAAATATAAATTAATGAACGGATTTTGTTGCGTTGGTAGTTTACATTTAATGCAGAGCAAGACGAATGTGAGGAAAGCGTCAAGGCTTGTGCAACTAATGCAACGCAAGTTGAATCAGTGAGCGGGTCCCTTCTACCATTTTTTTTTTGCATTCGTTATTCAAATATCTTTATAAACTTTAACTCTTTAAGGATTACGTGATTAATCTCGAATCGGAGTTTAGTCTCTGTCAATTTAACTTTTCATTCTTCACCAAATACATATTTGATGAAATCAAACTCAGTTCCCTCTCATCTTAGTCAGCTTGTGTGGTCAGCTATAGTATCTAAACTATAGCGGTTGGTCCTTTTTTCCATTTTAAACTCGTTCTTGTTCAGTGGCGGAGCCAGGCTCCAATTGGAGCCTAGGTCAAAAAAATTGGAAGCATAAAAAATAGTTATAATTTTATTAAATATTCTTTAATTTTATTGAATATATTTTAATTTTTTTATATAAATGGAAATAGAAAACATAACTTAATACAACTTATCCGAATCTCTTACCAAATATATCTTAATTTTTTGATTGGACCAAATTACAAATTTTAGCATGGGCCAAATTATAATTTTAGACTGGGCCAAATTATAATTAAGGGTTTTCATTTTATCCTTTAACATAACACAACAAACTTTCCTACCCTCACAACATTTTGTGGGGCCCACACTTTTTAAAACAAAAAAATAAATAAAAAATTAAGGCACGCAAAACGAATCTCTATAACATTACACAATCACTTTTCCTACAACATAACTTTTATAAAACCCTATAATTAATTATATAATTATACATAATAAGTACAATTTGTTAAAATTTAGCCTGGACCGAGGCCACCCCAACTAACAAGTGGCTCCGCCAGTGCTCTTGTTAATTTTTTCCTTTTTTCCTTTTTTTTTTTGTTCTTAATCATAAAGTTTTGGATATGTGAGAGATTGTTTCATTTATAAATAAAAATAAAAATAAAACATATCCGGATCTTGCATAGCCAATAGGGCCTACGCGAAATAGTTCAAAGCTTGTTTCTAGTTAAATTTTATAAGAATAAGCTTGGTTTATAAAAAAGCGTGACAATTTTCTTAATTTAATAAGTTTGTATTATTTTTAACTCGTGATTGCTCCACCATGGTTAATCAAGTTTAATTTTTTTAAAAAAATTATATTTAATTAAAAAATATTTACTAATTAAAAAAGTTAAAGTCAAATACATATATATCTAAAAGTATAGGATTTCTCACTTCTGCAGCGATAGCAGATGAAATTTTTTGCAACAAATATATTTACACCAGGATCCGCATGCGGATCTTGACATTTAAAAAAAAAAAAAAAAAATCCGCATGTGGATCCTAACTTTCTATGTGTTGCTGCAAAAATTTTCATCGGGAGTGACATAAGAAGTATATTTGCCCAAAATATATTAGATTATAAATTATATATATTGAGTTAGAAACAAATGTATTCAACATATGAAAGTTAAAGTTTAATTCATTGCTCACCAAAAAAAAAAAGTTTAATTCCTTTTGATAAAAAGTAATTTTTTTAATTATTTAGTTTATAATTTTTTTTTGGTAAACAATATAAATTTTTATTTAGCTGTTAACAAATCAATTCATGAGTAATTTGCAATATGCTTCAACTCATTCGGGCCTTAAGGAGAATTTATAGTAATACTATCCACTAAAAAAATTATAATAATACTTATAAATAGTTTTCATGAAAGAATGTAACTATAAATTAAATTTAAAAGTCTTTTATTCGATCTTGTACTAATTGAGTAAACCTTTATTAACAGTTTGTCTAAAACTATGTTAACTCACGGTCATACAATCCATAAGGTAATGGTAAGTTAAATAATGCTATAAACACTTACGCATACATGACTTCAGGTTTGTACATTTTTTATTACTTAATTACTCCTTCTCTATCTTCATTTTATACACATCTATATTTTCATTCTGTCACCTTAAGAAAATGTACAAAAACGTGTCTTTGAAAGTTTGATGTATTAAAAAAAGGAAAAAAAATGTTTTTCTTTTAAAGTATATAACTTTGTGTCATTTTAAATCCTAACTGTTAATTTCTGTCAATCAATAGTTATAATTTATTATAAATTACCAATAACTAATAAATTTGACACAATAAATTATGAGTTTTATTTTTCTTATGTCAAATAAGATAAATTTTCTCTTCTGCTCTCACAACAAATTGTGGGATCAACTTTATTTTTATTTTTTAAAAAGGATAAAAAAACAAAACATGAAAATCGAAGTGAGAGTAGGAGATAAAATTTCTCTTATGTGACATAAGAGAAATAAAACCCATTAATTATAACAGTTGATTGATGGAAATCAATGGTTAGGATTTAAAATGACATAAAGTTATATCTTTTAAATGGACAAATATTTTTCCCTTTAAAAAAAAATAGTCAGGCTCAAACACACAAAATAATTTTGTTTATTAATTCTTTTAATTGCTTTAAAATTATATATTTCATTTGAATATTTCACACGGACATAAAATAAATTATTTTAATTAAATTTGAAAAAAATAAATTTTAAAAAGATTTAAAAATAAAATACAAATTAATTTATCATTGATTTAATATAATCCTAAATTTTAATGATTTGAGTATCATGCTGATCACATCAGCATCTACGTTTGAAGGATTTGACATGGCTTTATTTTAATCAGATTACAAAAGATTAAATGATAAATAAACTAATTATACAATTTTATTTTTAAATATTTATTTACATATTGTATATAAATATTTTAATTAAAAATAAATATGCATATAAGAACTATTATTATTAAAATATTAACATTAGAGGTACAATTCAAAACCATTATTAAGTTACACTTGACTCTATCATGAAAATAAAATTTAATTAAAAATATCCCTTATTTTAAGTCTATACTTTTAAAATTAAAAAAATTAAAAATTCTTAACGATATGTTCTTCAAATACTGTTACACATTACACTTGTTTTGATTTTTTTTTAACCCTTTTTTTTTCACCTCGAATGAAATTCTACTTATGTCAAAACTCAAATTATGAAATCACATAGAATTTGGTTTAGAATTAGCATTTGAATTCTGGGGTTCAAATCATGGATTTGGGTTTTGTCGTTATTAGAAAGATCCTTTGGTGATTTGGCTCTGTAGTAAATTCGAAGGGCAAAGTTAAATTTTTAATTGGTTATGGTGTTCACCATATAAAAAAGGGTTTGTATTTGTCATTTAATATGACACAACAAACTTTTCTACACACACAATTCATTTTGTGTAGGGGTGTCAAAACGCGTCGACACGACACGAATTCGACACGACACGAATTTTTATTCGTGTCAAAATCTTCAACACTGACACGACACGAATTTTTTGCGAGTTGACACGACACGACATGACACGATTAACACGCAAAATAAGGGTCAAAATAGTAATTGACAAAAAAAATTTAAAAAATGGATCGATATTAAAAAAAATTAAAAAAATAATAATAAAAAATTAAAAATAAAATAATTTAAAAAAATACGGGTCGACACGAACACGAATATATCAACACGAACACGACACGAATTTTTTTGCGGGTCAACCCGAACACGAATTTTTGTATCGTATCGCGGGTCGACCCGCGTGTCAAAACCTATATTGACACCCTTAATTTTGTGGGGCCCATACTTTTTGAAGAAAAAAAAAATTACGGCACACAAAACGAATCTCTAT